AACCTCATCGACTTGTAGCACAGTGCCTCACCCAACTATGCTACCGAGTGCCTCTATGCTTCCACTAAGAATATAATATTTACTGTGGAATTAAGCGTACAGTTTAATGTGGGAGAAGTTTCGCTAGGGAGACGAAGAATTATATGTAGAATTTTTGAGAGGACGCCCCCCTGAAACCTCCAACTGGACACTCAAGAAGACGAGAAGAAAACATTAAAATTGTTTCATGGTTCGGATGTGGATGCAGCATGTCTGTGGAAGTGGTCAATGGCGGGCTTTGGCATAAACGGTGCTGAATTCTTCGACTTCTGCTACCGAAGGGGTAGGGAGTGGCAGAACATTGTCTGTTAAAACATACGTCACACCTTGAATAGGCAACCTTACGAGATAAAAATCCTATATGAACAAAAAATCTCCGGCATTGCGATGCTGGTCCCCAGCTATGCTGAAAATAGGATCTAACGACGACAGAGCGATCTACTCGTGCGTTGGTATCTGATGATGAGACACCCTCAAGACAAAGAGGAGACAGAATACCAATGATCCTGAATGTCATTCCGATTATATCATATTTCCACTGAGCAAAAATTCTCGCTTCGAAATAAATACCACCAACAATCGACATATCTCATTTTCAGACCGTAAGCCTAATCGCGCTTCTACGTGTGTGTATATATATATANGGAGTCAGAATGAGAGCCCAAGCTTCGAACACTTATTCTAAGGTAAAGGTAAAGTTGCACCTGTGTTTAAGTAAGCATTATGCCATGAAGATGTAAGAGTGAGTGGAGTTATATCTCCACCTTTCTCCACATCGGCACTAGATTGAAGCGAGTGGTCAGCTTCACGCCCCTGCAGCTTTACACTCATGAAAATTGCTCCCGGTACCCATTGGACAGGGAGCTGGATTGACCCCAGAGTCGGTATATGTACTGTGGAAAGGGAAAAATCTTGCATTGCCGGGAATAGAGCCCAGATCCTCCAGCCAGTAGCCCGTCGTTATACCGACTAAAACAAACTATAATGAATTTGTTAATTGAAATATGTTATGTATTACTGTGTTATGTGCCGTCTTGTAGTCTGGGAGCTATTTGCCTACGTTTAGGAATACCGTCAGGGTACAAGAGGAAGCTCAGCTCTAACAAAGCGGAATGGACACAGGAGCAAGCGGTACCGGCACTGGAGCCCGAGCTAATCAACTGGAACACGGGGAACAGAAAACAAATTCTGGGCCATAGAAAGGTCGCCTTCCAAGGGAACAGGAAGTGGGAAAAACACTGCTCTGAGTGAACCAATTGGAGGCAGAGAGAAGTCAGAAGAGAGAGAACGAGAGCACTCACGTTCACGCACCATTTCAGAACATCAGGACTGAGATCCTGAAGCACAGATATTCACATAAAATTATGAAACACCAGTGAATTTATATTGTCACTTGTACGAGTGTGACTTTGGACGGGTTTGGAATTGATAGCCGGATTTATTGCACACTTTGATATAGCGCGTGACTACACTTCACATTTCACTGTTACACACACACACACACACACCAGTATCAAAAATAACATCTTCGCTGCTGTTGCTTGGTAGAGCCTTCTAACTGTGGACGTTCCCTTTCCTCTGGTTTTCCGAACTATCCCCGTACCTCAACTACCAGCTTCTAACAGCAACAGCTCACAACAACTGAACCGCAGCATTGAGCCACCTAACTCATGGGAGGCCGCGCCATAGCTCAAGCGGTTAGTCGCTGGCTTCCCACCGCGGCGACCCGGGTTCAAACCCGGGTCTGGTAAAGTGAGATTTGTGGTGGACAAAGTGGCGTTGGGGCGGGTTTTCTCCGAGTACTTCGGTTTCCCCTGCCAATCTTCATTCCATCAAATTCTCCATCATCATAATCACACGGGGCAGGTACAATAGGCCAATCAGTGACCGCCGTGCCGAGTGGACCTAACTGGACTCCAACCTCCATTGTGAGAATTGTTATCTACCTAACTCACTAACCAACAACTCATTAACTCTGACTGATTAACTGCAACAGAGTCAGAGTTACTTTACGACGGGCGGTTTACCGCCAATCAGTTCGTCCTGGCGTCAACCCTTTGAGACTCACGACCAGAGATTATTGTTTCAACTGAACCCTTGTGGTCATAGTCCGTATCTAACTTCCTCCCTGACGAGAGGTCGGGTTTATCTCTTATGAATATGGTTGGCCTTGTCAAGTGTACACAGCTAATTGGTCCTGCTTAAAATATTTCGGCACGGACAGCATATAAAACACCGTTCTTCTGTTGTAGTGTAATTGTTCCCATGGAAAGACGCTTGTTTACGAAACCGCTATTTTAAAACGGCTGTTATGTGGTTGCTTATTTCGCGGTCGTTGCATAGTAAAGGTTCAACATACCACAATATTTACATCATAAAAATCTAAAACGAATAGAATTACAAGAGCTCTGTAAACACAGCTCGCAACAACAGGAGAGGCTGTGATTTCTACAGACCAAACCGACGCGCCAATAGACTGACCGGATAGTGATCCCGTGATATGCGTTTACTGCATGTCCATGTCCGTTCCGCAGCTATATAACGAGAGCCATGAGCTGTAACATCAGAGCGAATTGCAACTGGGAGTACAGAAGAGCACAAGAGGTTAGCCTGTGGTTATTTCACGTGGGATTTTAAGACCCTTATATGTACTGTAGTACAGAGACATTTGGGGTGTGTGATTTAGTGAGACCTTTATAGTTCGTGTGTTGTAGATCCGTGAAGACTAATGTAGAGAGGCTGAAGAGATTAGCGTAGAGTACTTTCTAGTGTGAAAATCAGTAATTGTGCAATAATTATTTGTAGTTAGACCTGTAGGTAGTTATTAAATTCAATTACCAATCCGAATCCCGTCTTGAGTCACCCATACACGTGACAATGTTTGTCAGTGTGAATTTTCGGGGAAACTTATGTCACGAATACTGTCTTCCGGAATATGATGACTCTGTGTAGTTTCGAGGGGGAAGAAAAGTTTCCTGGTGAAGAATACAGCATATTCCTACAAACCTAATAACATTTCACCAGACTACAGGATGCCATATTCCAAAATAAAGTAATATTCATAGTTACCGCCGTGGCAATCTCAGACGTCGCGTATGTAGGCGGCCATTTGCTGTGTGCACATAGGTCTTCCCAAGGTTCCATGAGAAACTGAGTCGTGCAATGGAATATTTGTGACTTTCCACAGCAGCGACTGTGAAGATTACTAATCTTGGATGCGAAATCGTGGAATTTGTAAGTTTAATGACGTGTTATATAATATAGGCTACAACTTAAAGGCCTTCAAACTGAAGATGAAAACAATAAATTCCTCCGGAACACCATTTAACATCTACCAGTTTGCAATGTGCAATATCCGAGAACATATTATTATTATTCGTGTAGTTCCGTGATTGCTAAGTACTTTCTAACAATTAATTACGTGTTCTGCTATCCATTATATTATATGGTTTATTCATTAGATGGCAAAAGAAGCATCTAGTCCATCAATCATCTTCGTAGCCTAGGTGCAAACAAACTTCCCTGATACGAAACGAGATTCATTATAACATCAACAAAAAAACTTCGGTTCATGTTGGTCTGTTGCAAAAACTGGAGCAGTTACATGCATTCTACATTATCCCCAGGCAGTACTCTGTTGTTACTGTTGTTTGTGACTTGTACAGGCACCAGTTCTCTACAGAACCTTTCTATGAACTTCATCATTCTATACAACATTCTGGCATACAATTTAATTAACACATTCATGATTAAGTCTGTACTGTCACCTCGGTGGTAATAATTGCTTCGAGATTCTGTAATCTGCAGGACCGATGCAGTTAAATTGCTGAGTCTCTTCAGGATGTGCAAAAGATTAACCCTGTCGAAATCAGAGGGGGGGGGGGAAGTCTGCTTGAAACATCGGTAGTCACTTCATATGCCAAGAAATTCTCCGTCTTTGATGGTACCTGGATTTTCATTACGATGTTCTCAAATTTCTGCAGTTAAAACATATGCTGAGCCAGATATAGCCAGTAAATAAATTCACACAACTGAAAACTTTAATATTATTCTCCTACCTACGCATACATCTAGTAAGCTTTTCCCCATTTCAGATATATCCATAATACTTTATAAGAATTTATAATCTTCCCCCTGCGTGCTATATACCCTCCAACTTCATCCTCCTAGATTTGAGGGTTGTAAAAGCATTTAGTGAAGATTATGAATGACAGAGTTTTATCCTTCTCTTACGTCACTTCGTTGAGATCCAAAATCATATCATACTGTAGCTCAGGCCATTAGTCGCCGGCTTCTCGCCGAGAAAGCCCAGGTCACAATTCACCTGGAATTCGTAGACTTAAGAACTGCACTGGAACAGACTATTCTCCGAACATGTCCGTTTTCCCTTGTTAATTATCGCATTCCCCAATTTCTTTCACACTAATTTATCATAAAATGTTCTTAAAAAGTGCCAAATTAAGACTGGAGTAACAAGAAACTCAATTTCACTGCAATGCCACAGTTAACTTACCAGGGGCTAGTACAACAGGTCCTTCTGTGGTAGCAGTACCGAGGGACTTAATCCCACCCCACTCCTACAGCTAACTCATCAGGGGCTGGTACAGTAAGCCCATTTGAAGCCACAGTACCAATGGGCTTAGTTCTACCCCACTCCTACAGCTAAATCATCAGGGGCTGGTACAGTAGTCTCATTTCAGGCCACAGTATCAAGGAATTCAGTCCTACCCCACTCTTATACTCCTTCAGTTTACATACACACACACACAGTGCGTTACAGCTCAGCTAAAATTAAGTATTTTCTTGAAGAAAGTCGTCTTCTGGGATGTTAAACGTTTCAGAGAGTCAAGCGAGGATTAAATTGACTCACCATCGATCTTAGTTAATTCACCCGCTGGCAGTGGCAAGTGTGTTTTTGGAGCCCTGAAAGCACCTGTCATAAAAGTGCACTGTGTACTTACCTGGATTTTGAGCTGCAACCATGGAGACTAGAGTCTGAAAGATGAGGATCAATACTGGCGGCGTTACAATTGCCATTTCTGCTGTCTTCACCAAGTAACAACCTGTAAAGAGGCAAATTTCAGTATTGAAAAGGAAGTTCCTGCCGTAACTTGCCATAATACTATCGTGATTCTAAAATATTGTCGGGGTTTCCGTGGCATATAAACGGAAGTCTCGATAATAATGTGGAATCGCCCGTAGAATTAATCCGACATTTCGCCTACTCAGTAAATGCATCACCGGAAGACGATTTCTTCCAATATATACCAATATACAGAGACTATCTGACAAAGTAGGTGAAGATTGGATGATAATATTAAAATGGATCCGAAGGCAATGACCTTAAATGTGCATACCCTCTTTATGTACGTAGTCAATAAAACTCCTTTTTCCTATATCACGCAGAACACTCTGTTTGTCAGTCCTCAATATATTGTACATTTTATCCACTACGTGTTAAGATTAACTTATGAATTATTAAATGGTTTAATTGCACTTATGGCAACCCTTAACCACCAAGAAATAGCGAAGCAACTATGAAACAAAAGGTTTTTTATGAAAACCTAAATCAGTAAATGAGAAGGAACAGTCATGTAAGTGATAATATTGTCATGAGTTTGCTGTGTGACGCGACAAATAGCTTCACGCCGGTCTTGGATCTAGCGAAATTATTGCACACTTTTATCCGCACTGACACAATTCACAATTTCAGTGTCCCAATTACTTGTTCTGCTATAGTCACTTCCAGACTTCAACCATCTTCAGCGGCTACTATATTTCAATTGACTTGTCTGTCAAAGTCAAAGTCAAAGTCACATTGCGACTGACGGTCGGTCAGTCAGTCAGTCAGTCAGTCAGTTAAGTCTTGGTATCGAGCCCAATCTGGGGCTCATGACCAGATATTAATTATTACCGTTTGACAGTTACGGTCTTATTTTTGTGGGGCGCACTCCGACGAGAGGACGGGTCTGTCTTTTGCATATGCTGCTGGCCCCTGGCAGCGCGGTCTTTCTCGGGTCCGAATCCCTTGAAACTCGCGACCATATTTTACTGTCTCAGATTTGATACTTTCCTTTTCGTCGCCTCCTACGACTCTCAGGGTCACGGTGGAGGTATTCGACCCCGCCTCCACACGGAGGTGACTTGTCTGTCAAGTCAAAGTCACATTGCGACTGACGGTCTGTCAGTCTGTCTGTCTTGGTGTCGAGCCCCGTTTGGGGCTCATGACCAGATTTTTTTTCTTTATGTGAAAGTTACTGTCCTGTTTATTTGGGGCGTCCTCTCTGACGAGAGGTCGGGTCTGTCATTTGTCAGTCAAATCTGTGTTAGTAAGTCCATTGTCAGTATTTACAGATTCTTTTTTTCAATTGAACATTTGCTGCCGTAGTCCTCATGTAACATCCTCTCTCACGAGAGATAGGTCTGCTGTTTACAATTGCTGCTGGTCTCGCCAGCGCATTCATTCTCAGGTCCGAGTCCCGCACGACTCAGGACCATATTGTACTGTCTCAGATTCGAACCTCCTCCATCATGGAGGCCAAGTTCCCGTAATTATATCCCCCGGGTACAGGGAGGTCCAGTTACACCCCCAGGCACGGGGTTCCCTTTCTGTCGCCTTGTAGGACTCGCAGAGATAAGGTGGAGCTGATTCGAACACGACTCCACAACCTAGAAGGCCAGTCTGCTCTGACGTGACACATAAATTCGAGGCGGATTGAATATAGAACACCGCACCAAACAGGGCTTCCACTTTTTGCTTTCGTATTCGTTGCCGCGCAGGCATGAACCGGTCGGGTCGAGTCTCATGTTACGACCGACAGTCAGTCTGCCAGTCCACCCCGGAACAAAGCACCCATTTGAAGCCCACGACCAGACTTTCACCACTGTCAGACAGTCGCGGGCACACCAATGCAAGGCGCCACCTCCCCCCCCCGGTTGAACTAATTCAGTGTTGGTCAACATTGGTCAATAAATATATAATTTATTTGAAAAACTTGTAGGAAGTAGATCACCTGGGAAAACTAGGCGTAGATGGATGACATAAAGGTCAGTCTTGAATAAAGTTTATGAGGTTGTGGACTGGATTCACCTGTCTCACGCAGAAGTTCAGTGGTGGGTTGTTGTGAACATGGTGACGAATCCTCGGGTTCACTAGAAGGCAGAAATGTCTTGATTAAGCAAATGACTTTCTAAAGACGGAATCTGTTCCATGAGAAAAATAAAAAATATATTTGTAATAGAAAACTTGGTACGGGTTTGTGCATGCTTGGGACATCTCAGTCAGCAGAGTGACAAGACTGCGCGCAGGACTATCGGGAAGCCTGGGTTCGATTCCTGGTATAGGCAAGAGATTTTTATCTTCTCCATAACGTTCAGACTGGCTCTGGGGCCCACGCAGCCTCCTATCCAATAGATACCTGGGGCTCTTTCCCAAGGGGTGAAGTGGTAGGAGCTTGAATCTGACCACTCACCTCCATCTAGTGCCGAGGTTAAGAATGATGGAACTATACCACTAGTCCCCAACAAGTCTTCTTTCTGTGGTGCTTGATTATTTACGCCCAGGAATAAATTCAAACAACTTTCAGTAAAATATTTTCCCATGTTTCAGTGACTAAGACGCGGGTTTCGTTTGGTGAATCGGTTTATTGGATCTTAACTAGTCGTAACTAAAATTAGTTCTTACACTCTCAAGATTACTAACACATACGTCTCACACATAAGTCTTCTAATTCTTCTTCTGGCCACGCTGCTGTTCCCTTGGAACTTCGGAACTCAAGTGAAGTCAATTCCCATTCCCTTATTCTCTCATATCCTCTCGGCAAGGACCACGCACAGAAAACACAATTCTATTATTGCGTAGCACAGACCACACAGAAAACAAGTCACGTGATAACTGTCTCTTCAATACATTGGACCGTTGATAGACACCTAGTAAAGAACTATAAATATTCGCCCTACTACTGCACGCCCGTATCGCGGGGTGTTCATCGAGCCGATGCCTGGCAATGAGTAGACATGTCACAATATGTCTACCGATGAATATCTTTATTAACAGAGTTATAAGTGCCTTCAGCCGGTCACTGTAGCCACAGGGTCTAAGGCATGAACTCTCTTCGCTCACTTCGACGCCATGATCGTAGGTTCGAATCCCATTCTATGCATGAATGTTTGGTGTGTGTATGCGTTTATTCTGTTTGTGCTGTTCTGTGTGGAGGTAGCGGCTTCCTAACCGGCTGATCACTCGTCCAGTGGAGTCCTATAGACTGTGTAAAATGATTATGGAACTGAATAAGAGGCCTGAACCCTGAATGGCCTGGAAGAGCTATTGAAAAAAAAGTGCCTTCAGTGTAGTTCTTTTTTGTTTGTTTTATTTTTCCTTGGTACTACAGCCCCAGTGGGCCTAGGCCTACCTCCATGAAGTTCTCCATTCACTTCGGCTTTTCTAGATCTTACACATTCGGTAGAACTCCTTGGGTGGGTGATCAGCTCGTCGCAAGGCCTCTACCTGTACACAAATACAGAAAAATGCACACACAAAAACTAAACATCCATGCACTGAGTGGGATTCGAACCCACGATCCCGGTTTCCAAGCGACCGAAGGCCGTACATGCCTTAGACCGCTTGGCTACCGTGACCGGCTCAATGTAGTTTATATTGTTATATTTCTTAATAGCAGTACAGAGCGTAAACTATCGATTAGATTTGTAAGAATACTTTTGTATTTGTATTATATTCAACTGCGTTGTTAGTAATGCAAACTATATATCGTATACTGGAAAGTTGGAAAACAATAATAACTTGCTGTTCTTAGTCCTTGTCGGCTTTGTGCAACTTCTTTCGACATATTAATATCCACACTTCAACGTCTTCTCTTCTCGTTATACAACACTACACTCTTCGGCGTAACTGGCCATCATCAGAGCTGCAGATTTCTTCACTCCAACATCTTACACACCTGATGATGGCCAGTTAGGCCGAAACATGTAGTGTTGCATAACGAGAAGACAAGAAGGGGCATTGTGAGTATTAATGTAGGAGGGTCGTACTGAAAGTCATGAGCAACAATTTGTTGTAAAGTAACATGCTCTATTATTGACAAACCAAATGCACCACCCTAATCTACAGACCTTTCTTTATTTTTCCACATAATCGCCACTTCTTTGTACACATTTCTCCCAGCGTTCTGGGAGTTTGAAAATTCCGTTCCAGCCATCCTAAGACACTGACGCACTGCTTTCTGAATTGCCTCCCTTGTCTCAAAACGTTGTCCACGCAGCTGATGCTCCACAAATCCGAAAAGATGGTAGTCGGAAGGTGTCAGATCAGGGCTATAGAAGGGGTGTGGAAGAACTTCCCACCCCATCTTTGCAATTGCTACCAATGTGAGGCGAGCGGCGTGGGGGCGAGGGTTGTCATGCAGGATGATGATGTTTCGTCCCGGACGTTTATCGCGCAATGCACGACGGAGCTTGTGCAGCGTCTGGACATAAAGAGCAGTACTGATGGTTTGCCCAGGTTCCAGGAATTCGGCCAGAATAAACCCCTCTGCATCCCAAAAGACTGTGCCCATCACCTTCGCAGCTGATGGCACTGTCTTTGCCTTCTTTTTTGATCGAGAATGCAAATGGTGCCATTCCATATTCTGCCGTTTCGTTTCAGGCTCGAAATGGTGAAACCAGCTTTCGTCGCCTGTCACAATACAGAGCAAAAATCATCGCCTTCGTGTCGATATCTCTGCAGCAGTTCTGAGGTGATGGCTTTTCGCTGATCTTTGTGGTCTTCGGTCAATAACCGCGGGACCCAACGAGCACAAACTTTCTTATAGCCCAAGCTTTCAATCATCTCCTGTACTGCACTGGGCCCTATTCCAAGTTTTCGGGCTATTGTGTCACAGTCACACGCCTGTCATCTTGAATGATCTCATCCGATCTTTCCTTGTTGCGTTCAGTTGAGGACGTTCGAAGACGAACGCTCCGAGATTCATTTTCGATGCTGGGGTTCCCATCTTTAAAATGTTTCACCCATCTTCGAACACTGCTCGCACCCATGCACATACTCCCC